TCAATTTTGAGGTATGTCACATACGTTCTAGAATAGTCACTTGCTTTCTCTAAGAAAATGAAGCTGACATGTATTAATATGTACACATACAACCCTTTGTTTCCCTTTTTGAAATGAATAATGGTGTATTCTCTCTATCTGGTCGCATTATGCCATGATCTCGTAAGTTCTAAATGACTAAATTAATTCTTAGTGCAATATATTCAATAAATTCCTTTTCTTGTGGCAATGTCTTCCGCAGGTTAAATGAGCAAATCAACAATCAAATATATCTGATTTGAAGACATCAATATTGCAAATAGTTATACTCTCTCTCTCTCTCTCCCTCTCTTGCTTGCTCATATTCATGCGTGCGTCAGATTGTGTTATCACCGAATTTTAACTGGATAATTTCCTTTTATTGGTGTATTAATGTTTCTTACATATGGAGATATGTTTGACGTACATGGAGTTTACTTAAATCTCATTATCCATAGGAATCAATAGAAACGACAAATCCCTTAAACTTAGAAAATCTAAAATGATGACCTATTTGTCAACTTCACATAAATTTTCTTAAAATTTCAAACTCTGAATAATATACCAGTGATCAAATAGACAATAGATAAGGTGGCCACAGGCAAAAAAAAAAACAAAAAAAAAGAAGATAAAGGTGTTGTTTCTTGAATAAAGTTTCTGACACATGATCACGTGTAAATGGTAAAATGATAGTCAGGTATGTGTCGACATGCATACAAGTTAATAATAAATGAGAAAGAGAAAAAAAGAGAACCATTGCTTCAAACCGAAAAGAGGTTCATTTACAAGAGAGAATTCAAAGGGATGCTCTTAGCATTTGTTTTACTGTAACATTTTTGTATGATTAAATTTTACTAAGCAATATTTGAACTCAGGCATTTTCCTTTGTTGGATGAATTTTCCCTTTGTGTAATTGCAATCTCTTGCAGTAGAGTCTAAGTGGGATGAATTTGTATTTGATATATGTTTTTGCTAAAATGTATTTTCGTTGTAAATAAAATTGGTCAAAGTGATCCTTCTATTTTATATTGAATTGTTGGCCCTTTTCCAACAACAAAGAAAATAAGGTTATTATAAACATTCATGAATAATAAGATTTCTTTTTGAGTAAATTTAAGAATTTGGAGTGCATAAAAAAAAGATGGATTGAATTTAGCCCAAAAAAATCTAGAGGAAAAATGGAAAAGAAATATTGAGGACATTTCTTTTTTCCAATGGTTATGTAGCCAATTTTGGAAAGTATGATCAGTGGAATATGATCTTAAAAACCACATTGTTTTTAACACATGTCATGTCATTTCTAATTCGATCGAGTATTAAAGAATCTTAATTTGACTTATTTAATTAATTAGTGCCGATAATAAACCATTTAATTTTTGTGTTATCCTTTCCCATTTGACCCGCATAACACACGAAATGAAGAACCTAAAGTTAAGTATTCTCTCTTTCTCAATAAACCCCACTTTTTTACAGGTCCTCGTAAACTAAAAACACTTTCAATTTATATATGAGTAAAGTCAAATAAAAAATTTATGATTCTTTTAAATTTTGTATAATACTGCATAAAGAAACGAAAAAAAAAATAGATAGTTTCTTCTTGCAATAAATTCAGCAAGTTTATTTAACTTGTTTATTATTCATATTAGTAGATCGCTTAATTTTAAAATTTTATACAAAAAAGATTCAACTTTAAATCACCAACATTGAGCAAGGTAAGACTATAATTCTGAAATTAGTATAGTATTCTCATCAATTTTGATTATTGATTTTAAATTATATAATTTATTATTATTGATTAAAAAGTGAAGTTACGGTATCGTCAAATTTGTTTTATGTGATTCACACAAGAATAGACGGGTGGGTGGTAGGTGGGAATTAATTAATGCATGTACTTAAAGTAAAGACCTTTTTATTATTGTGCTAATTATTGTGGGCTCTAATTAGAGGGTACAAGACTATGTGAAGTTGTCAAGCTTCTTCTCTCTCTTCTTCAATTATTACGGTACATAAGATGTAGATCCCAACCAATGTAATGATGCCTTAATGATAGACTAAGGAGAGAGAGAGGGAGAGATTGTGAGGCTTTTGAAGACAGTCTTGCATAAGGGGGTAAACTTTACGGGGAACAGTACGGTATCAATTTCGGTGTCAATATTTATAATTTTTTGAAATTAAATTATAATTTTTAAAAATAAAATTATCTTTTAGGGCAAGTTATACCTTTTAAGGTGAAGTTAATAAGGTGGTATATATGCTTGATTAAAACATTTCATGACCGATCATGAAGTTATCATAATCAATTGCAACTTTATTTTTAAAAAGTTTAAGACCCTCAAAAATAGTAACTTTTGAAACGAAACCCAACATTTATACCAATTACCAAATTTCAATGGTTTTAAATATAAATATTTATTAACTTAGGACTAAGGTCCTCCCGACGATTAAAGTTCTCAAAATATTTAATCCAACGATAATATCATGTTAACATTAATGACATGGTATCAAAAACCAACAATAAAACTTCAAATGAAAAAATAAAGCCCACTTGAATAATTATTAGCTTACATCGAAGAAGAATGAGTAGTTATTACTCTCTCCGTTCCTAAATACCTGTCGTTTTACACAAATTTTTTTGTTTCATAATATCTGTCGTTTAATGAAACCAAAACATAATTAATATTTTTTCTTCCAAATTTACCTTTAACTTTTCAATGCAATAGATTCGGTGGAGGCTAAGTGTCTCTTATATTCTTTTCCTTCCCAATACGTATTGAATAAGAGTATGTTAGTCTTGTGTAATTATTTTTTACTCATATTAGAACTATTTAATAGCTTCCTTAATCCCTGTTCAAAAATCTTAAACGACAGATATTTATGAACGAATGAAGTAGCTTGTATGAATATGTATTTATTGACTTGTAAGAGATTCGTTTTTCTATTTATTTATACAATATTTGTTGGTAATATCATGTCATCATTAATGATATGGTATCCCTGTTACATTAAATATTTTTTCCTACAATAGATTGACAAGTCAAGGTTCCCCTCCTCCCCCCGTTAAGAGTAAAAATATCGTTTTCTATCAAAAAAATATATATTTATTATGTTATTTTTTCGTGAAAATATATTTTCAAATACACTTGACTTTTACACGTAAAAATATATGTTTTCAAAACATTTCAAATTGAACACTAGTTGGAAGTATATTTTCATAATATGATTTTACAATAAAAAAACATGGATTTAAAACATGTGTTTTATGAAAAGAACGACAATTTGATAAATAAATTTGAAATTACGATATTTGGGTAAATAAATTACAAATAAACAATAGAAAGAAAATTGATTATGTTTTTGTGCGTGCTAAACATACTACATCATTTGAGATAAGGAAATTTAAGAGTGAGATCCACTATGATAATTTGTTTTTCAAGTGCTAATCACCTACCATATATAGTTAGAGGAAGCACTTATATAAAAGTAAGTTTTATACTAATTAATGGTTATTGTTCGATTTTAGAAAAAAATTAAAGAAAAAATAAACAGAGAGAATTTCGATCCATAGGTTGGTATATAAATTCCATAAGTGTAGCATTAAAATTTATTAGTCTTGCCACACACCACATAATATACCAAATAAATTACAAATACTCCCCCAAATAGAATAATGTTATGATGACATCTAAAATAGAGCAATATTATAACAATTATATCCTAATCTAAGAAAAACTTTTCTAATGGGCTTTTAAGTTTCCTTACTTCTCAGATTCAATAGGTTTTTGTACTTTTTAATCCTCCAATTCGGAGGGCCCATTGCCCATATATACTTCAAGCAATTAATTGCCCTATGTTCTATAACTTATTAGTTGGGATTTCACTTTTATTGATGATTCATTAATATTCTCACCAAGGATCTAGGCTCTCTCTCTCATAGGTTTACTCAATTTTACGCAATGGTAATTTTGACCATTAATCAAGTCGAGTTTCTCAAGTTTGAGAATGTTTAATCTCGGTTTGGTTGACTCGTTAAACTTGAGCTTGAGCTCAATTGGAGAGCATAAATTCTTGCTTAAGTTTAGTTTGACGAAAACTTGTGAGCATTCAAGTTAACCGAGTTAATTTCGCAGCAAAAAGCTATTTAAAATTATTCATCTATTGAATAGAAGGTGTTTCGAGATAAGTGTAGATGATGATAGGATTTAAGAGATTTATCACTATACTAGTAATTGTCCATGTCTGAAGTCACTGTGTTACTTGTAAAAAGTGAACAAAAAACTCTCCAAAACAACAACACATATACAAATACAGCAAGGAAAAAAATACTAATAGAACCAAATCATCAACATAAACAAATCTTTAGTGGTAGTAGATGAAAACAATAGTAAAAATCATGAATATTAAACAAACCTGAATTATTAGAATATTAAACAAATCGAGAATATTGTTCACCAAAATAAAGTAGCAGCGAGAGAGAGAATTGGTTGAACGAAATCCCGAGTCAAAAATCAAAATTACCCCAATATCACGTATGAAACAGTAGCTGCATCAATATATCAAAACAAATTGAATCAACAACCATAGAATTCACTCAAAAATAACATAGACCCTTATTCTTTAGTCTATCTGAAATAACATAGCTAAAGCAATCTGTAATTCTAGCAAATGGCATTTCTAAGCTTCCACTTGATAGAATTTTCAGGCATTCTATCAAACTTGGGGCAGATTGAGTGACATAATTTAAAGGAATAAAAATACGAAGCATTTTCTTTCAATAGACTAAATAAAACATTTGGGTCAAAGAAATTACAAATGATATATTTGATAATTTACTCCTAGTCTCATCCAATAATTCACAAAAAACAACACAGTATGTGATACCTCCACCTATTAAGTCTCTGAGCTGAAATTATAAACATGAAATTGAAACGATCATCTTCAGCTAAACAACTAAGAAATTAAAAAAAGATAACAATAAATTAAAATTATTCAGCTTGGGAGATGGGAGAGAGAAAGTAAGGGATAAAACAACCATGCATAGACTCAATAATTTTAACTCCCTTGGCCGAGAATTTAGGTGCCAATGACAAATGCTGATGATTAAGAATAATAATATCAAAACACAGGCATGCTCTAGTTGAATAGCCATATGTTACCCAGAAGGTTAATAATATCAGAACACAGGATTTCTTCATAATTCTTATGATTAGCGGTTTCAAATTGGTAGCCTGGGAAAGGACAACATCATAAGCATCATAAGTATAGAAAATAACGGCTGCCATACTTGCACTTCCCCAGTTTTGAATGCCGCTCATGACCAGTTATAAAAATCTTTCTACCTAACATGAGTTCAATAGAAACAAATTGATGTACCCCAACTTTTCTTTAAACAAAAATTAGAATACCAAATAACCAAAAACGTATTTATCAAAATCATTCTATCAATGTAGATAAACTGATTACATTAATTCAATAGATTCTATCAATGGATATGTTGGGAATTACCAATTGAAGGAAATCTTAAACTCAACATTGATGGTGCCTCTAAGGGCAATCCAGGACTTTCTGGTGGAGGAGTGGCTCTGAGAAATCATAGGGATATTTTGGTTCTAGCTGGATCCTTCTTCTATGGAGTTTGTACTAATATGGAAGCTGAAATGAGATCTTTGCTTGATGGTTTGCATTTGGTTTGGAGGTCTATCCACTTGCTATTGAAAGTGATTCTCAGGTTTTAGTTGACATGGTTAAACAGAAGAAGTTGCCTAGTATACCAACACTGGAACATTTATTATCAATTCTTTTCTTTACTTGAGTATTTCGACTTTCAAATCCAGCATTCATATAGAGAGGGAAATACTGTGGCAGACCCATTGGCGAATCTAGGTGTTCAGAACAGAACTTCTGTGTCCTATTCCTCTTCTGCAACACTACCAATCCAAACCAAGCAACTGCTATGGCAGGATCAAAGATAGATTAGATCTCTGCATTCTAAGATTACAACTTCAAGATTGAAGTCACAACTTTTATAGCATCTATCTTTATTCAGGCGAATGGACTGGTTTCTTTTAGGAAGCAAATTGATTCAGACTGGGAGTTTGGTCAGCTTCTGCATTCTGACAACTGCTGAAGGATGTTGTTGCAGAAGGATCAGAAAAAATTGCTTACTGCAAGGTTGAGGAGGGCTATTTACAGGGGTATTCTGCCCTTGTTAATGACCTGCTTCTGCACAGTTAGTGATGATTGGAGAGTGCTGTCAGACTGGACTGTTGCTAGGCAGTGTGGTGTTACTGTGTTGCTGATCAAGCTATCTTTGAGAAGATTGGAGTGAAGTTGAAAGAAGCCTTAACAGCACTTTTGTGTATTTTTTGTTACAGAATTATCGGGTATAGGATAACAGAATTTCTGTTATGAAACAGAAAATCTGTTTTTAACAGTTTCTGTTTTTTGGTAGAACAGAATTTTTTCTGTTTTGATTCTTGTAATTTCTGAAATTCATTCAATTAGACCTACTCAGTTGAGAAAAAAAAAATTAATTCAATAGAAACAAAGATGATTAAAATTTTATTACCTTGATGGTGCAGTAACGTAGTAAGCAAGACCACCAACGGGAACAGATTGACCTGAATATTCAGATTCCTGCCACTTGCTCAGCAAATTTACCAAGAAATTTCCACTGTACCTCAGTTGCAGCAACTATACAGAAAGAAAATGATTTTATATAGTCTGCAACAATTTGGACAGAGTAAAACGGTACAATTAAATGATAAAAAAAAGGATAATGAATGTAGAAAGCTTCCTGGAGACCCAACAAAAACTAATCATAAAAAAACGGATATTCAAACACTATATTAACAATAAATTGAGAATGGACAACAATGCTATAAACTTTAAAAAAACCATAAATTTCACAATTTGATTCAAAGATATAAACCGGACAATACCAAAGAACCATAAATTTACACAGTGTACATACTTGGGCATGGTAGCTTTCACATCCTTTGGCACCACATCACCTATGTACATCAAATAGCAAGCCATTTACTTCCACTAAGAGTGTATATTTGACAATTTAATTCATATAAAAATGTATATTTGAGAAAAAGTGTATATCCAAAATAATGATATTTAATAAAGAAAAAGGCAAACAGGAACAGGTGGCCATCGAAAATATTCTTTCTCATATTTAATTCTCACTCGGTTGGCCTGTTATCACAGTTTGAAACATTGGCCTAATATGCCAGCAATAGTTAGATATATTTTTCATACCCCAACTTTCATTGTGACCTAGAGATTGACAAATACCAACCTAACATAGAGAAGAATATCATGAAGCCAGCAGAAATTTGAACTACTCTGCGACTTCCAACTCGAGTGAGTCCAAGATGCCCCATATTTTCCCTGAAATACATGGCCAAGGCCTCTGTCATGCCAATGGTTCAATGCAAAAGCTGAACACACTAAGATTTCTCTTTCATGTGGGCTGTGGGGTGGTGGTGGCTGCAGGCAGATGTAGGGGGTGGTGTGGTGCGTTCAGGAATTTTTACAAAAAGTTGATGTGCATTATTGTGGGGGTGTGTTGGTGGCTGTTGCGGGGTTGTATTGTATGGGTTTTATGGTGGAGAGAGAAAGACAGAGAGGTAGACCTGGCTGGCGTCGATGCGTCGTTGGCGGTGGCTGCTGGAATCAATGGCGATTGTGGTAACTCAATGATGTAACACCAAAAATATTCACACCAAAACTTTCAAATCTATAACATATATTTACAGAGAAAACCAAAATCATCAAAATCAACCATAAATACAGACAATTAATCACAAAAATCAATTCAAACAAAAATGTGTGATTTTGAATCTATGAACTGAAGAGAGAAACAGTGTGGGGGAAATGGTAGATCTGGGTTTTTTGGCCGTCGTGGCATCGGCTGGTGAGAGTCAGCAAGAGAGAGGTGGAGGCGAGTGAGAGGACAAAGAGAGGGGGGAGATACCTGCACTGGACTGGAGTTACCAATGGTGGGGGTCGGACTGGCTGGAAAGAAAAGAGGGAGGTATGAGGGCACAAAAAGGGACTGAAAGGAAATCACAGAGCCCACATTCTGATAAGGAAAGAAGAGATTGCTGAATTGGAGAGTCCATTTGAGGGATTTTGGGGATGAGTTTGGATGGCAGGGACAAAGGCGTGACAGATTGGGAGAGAGAGAGGCGTGAGCGACTAGGGGAGAGAGAGAGAGAGAGGCGTCATTTAGCAAATATTTTTTAGGGGAAAAACAAAATTTAGTACACGTTTTAGATCGTTTGATCAAAATTTTTGAAATGATCTCAACCGTCTTTTATGTTGATATTATATTGTCTATTAAATTTGTTTATCTTTTGTTTAAAAACGATGTGGATCTCTCTTTGTCTTCAGAATTCAAACTTTGTTCTATTTTATTATATAAATATAAAATAAGCGTAAATGATGATAAACTTGTGATATTTTATCTTTATTATATAATTCTCGCCCTATAAATATAATTAATACTCATGTAATCAAGCACATCAATGTAGCCCTTGGAGCATTTTGTCCATAGACGTAGGCACATTGAACAGTATATTGAATCACTCATATCTGGGTGTTTTTATTTTCGTTTATTTTTCTTATTTTAATTTCTCTCATATTTATAAATTTTTCATGGTATAAGAGGAGGTCGATCGAACCTCACTTTCAATTTGTTTCTGGTTTACCATAGATCAACACCTTGTTTTGTTAGAAACAAATTTTTGCTAATCACACTTGATCTTTTATTTGGCATCTGGTTGCATTAGAACTATTTCCTCCATCATTTGCCATCTTTTTTGGTTCCATCATTGGAGACCTCTCAGTTAGTTACATTTTTTGTTCTTCATGAAGAGATACTCCACTGGTTGTGTTAAGGTTATCAATGGGCTTCTTGCGTGAGGCCAAATCAATAATGAGCTTCAAATGGTGATGGACTGGCCCTCCATAATGCAGCTGGACAGTAGAGAAACAATTTGAGAAAGACGAGTAGGCATGATGGGGAAAACAAAAATCAAAACAGAACAAAAAAAAGAATTATTATTTTGTCCCACGTTGTTATTTAGGGGAAGTTTCATCGCTATAGCAACATCATCGACAATGTTATCAAGCTACACTTTCGACAATAACTTTGGTCTTTACGTTGTAGTCCCGACAAGTCTTGTTCAAATACGAAACTACTTTCCACCGTATTAAAGAGCAGTGCAAACTATAATCCGAATAACCATTTCATTTTCAGTTCAAGTTGGACACTTCAACCCATCAGTGTACCAACTTGAGGGAGGGTACTGGGATATGATGATAGGATCCAAGAGATCTATCACTATCTACATGGTTAGGATTATGATATGATAATAGGATTCAAAAGATTTATCACTATCTATAAGATAAGTCTAGATATTTTATCTTTATTATGTAATTCTCATCCTATAAATAGGGTTGAATCTCATGTAATCAAACACCACTGAATAAACATCGATGCAGTCCTTGGGACATTTGGTCCGTGGACGTGGGCATATTACACATGTGTCAAACCACATATATCATGTTGTTCTTATTTTCATTTGTCTTTCTTATTTTAATTTCTCTCATTTTTGTAAATTCTTCACTTATACCGTTGCTTGTCCCCTTAGCTAGGTCAGGATTGGAAAAACCCTTTGGTGTGGTTGTTTCCTTCAGTGAAGAACTTTTACCATTTAAAGCAGCTTTTTTTGATTTGCAAATGTCACCAGTAACCTTACCACCTAGATATGGTGCAGATTTTGGAAAGTCAATAGAACTATATTAAGAACAAAAGACATGTGCAAACAAGGTACCATGTACCAGTAACTAACAAAAAGAACCAAATTGTAAGCCTAGCAAACCACTCAAAAGGCACAACTTGGAAGTATAGGCCTTGAACCATTACTTCCACCCAAATTCTTCTTCCAAATTGTGAGAACCTTTAACGAGCAAATAGCCACGAGAGCTCTAAATATTGGAAATTCAAGAACAGCTCAAATCAAGCAATCTTCAGGAAGGTTCCATTGTTGCAATAGAATTGTGTTCTATTGAGTCCTCTTGAACTTCAAGGATATGAGTCTTTCTCTAATGGTTTGCTTGATAGATTGAGAAAGAGAATTTGGGTCCTTCCTTTGATTTTTGAAAATTCTCCCATTCCACAAAGAATAAATAGTAACTGAGAGACTTAACATTAAGATAGTTGTCTTCATTGATTTTCCTCTCCACTGTTGAGCAGCCCATGAGATTGACTCAACCCATTGTCTCTGCTGCCACTGCTGGTTGGTTAGGAGCATAACACCATTAAAAAAAAACTCTATTTGAGAATTCACATTCAAAAAACAAATGTTTGTGTGTTTCTTCAGTTCTTCTACATAGAACACATTATGGGTCAACCTGAGATGCAAATCTTTGAATTCTATCATTGGTGTTTAGCTTAAATCTAATAGCTAGCCATAGGATGAAGGGCATTCTTGGCATAACTTTACTACCAAACTAATTTATTCCATTGCATGGTTGGTGCTTCACTCCTGATATGTTCCCAGGCAGATCTAGCAAAAAACTTACTCGTCGCAATTAGAGTCCAATTGGTTGATTCCCATGTATCTTGGTAAGGTAGGTAGCTTGGCATTGCATTGATGATTTCTTGCACTTGAGTAGATGTAATTGTTGTCCAATTCCATTGGTTGTTCAAAATAATTCTGCTAACCTTCGTCCTTTGGAATTCTGATTTCTAGCAAAATCCTTGGGCTGTTGAGTTCCCATTTCCTACCCTATGGATAACGCATGGCCTAAGCAGTTCTCTAAGTTTAAACAAATTTCTGCAATTCCATGAGCATGCTTCGGTGGCTTTGAGGTCCCATGGGATTCTTCCTTTGATGTAAAAGGCATGAATCCATTGAGTCCATAAATTCTTCTTGTCATTAAAGAGTTGCCACAAATGCCTCATGAGAAATGCACAATTCCAATCCTTCAACCTTTTGATACCAAGCCCTCTTTCTTCTTTAGGTTTGCACACCTCTTTACAAGAGACCTTTGCTCTCGTATGACTAAGATATGTGCCTTTCCAAATAAAGGATCTCAGGATCTGTTCAATTCTATGAATAACCTTATGTGGAAGACTCAAATGAGAAGCCCAAAAGATGTGCAAGTTGCTAAGAATGGATGTGACAAGTTGAACTCTTCTTGCATATGAAAGTGATCGATTGACCCCAGACTTAACTCTTGATTCCACCTTTTCAATAAGACTGGAGTAGTATTGAGACTTCAGACCAGACAAAATGAGTGGCACTCCTAAATATCTAATAGGCAATTTCCCTACCTCAACTCTAAACAAATTCTTGGTATGGCTAGCAATATCTTCATGCATTACACTCATGAAAATAGTACTCTTGTTTGCGTTAACTTGAAACCCTAAAGCCACACTGAATTGGTCCAATGAATTGTTAATAATAAAAGCAGAATTCATATCTCCATAGCAAAACAACATCAAGTCATCACCAAATGAAAGTTGAGCGATTTTGAGGGTTTTACACCTCCAATGGAATCTAAAGTTAGGATTTGATCTAATGTTGAACTTGATGAGAAGTGATAAACACTCCATTGTAATGACAAAAAGGTATGGGGACATAGGGTCACCTTGTCTTAAGCTCCTCCAATTAGGGAAGTATCCAGCAAGCCCACCATTGATATTCACTAGAAATCTAGCAGAAGTAACACATGCTTGAATCCATCTCCTTATGGTGTGAGGGAAGTTAAGAGCCTCCAATGCTTCAAACAAGAACTCCCAATCAAGTGTGTCATAAACTTTGCTCAAATCCACCTTTACAACACATCTAGGAGACCCTTTATTTTTATGGTAATCCCTCATTAACTCTTGAGTGAGTAGAATGTTGTCTCCGGTCCTTCTTCCATGGGCAAAGGCTAATTGGTTTGGGTTTATAAGATTGGGAAGTGATCCTTTAATCCTATTTTCTATGATCTTGGATATTGCTTTATACATAACATTCAACAAGAAATAGGTCTGTAGTCCCCAATAGTTGTAGGATTGGGAACCTTGGGTACTAAAGCAATGGTGGTACTATTAAGCTCATTCAATAACCTTCCAATTGAGAAGAATTCCTTCACAACGGCAACAATATCATTCTCTATGATTTGCCAAGCCTTTTTAAAAAACAAAGCATTGAACCCATTAGGACCTAGGGCTTTTGGTCGTTAAAGGAGAAAAAACTTTCTTGATTTCCTCTTCTGTGAGTTCCCTTTCCATTTCAGTAGCTTGTTGTTTAGTAACACTATTTTGGATAATAGGTTGAAACATATCCCTAATCTCATTAGTATTGGAAGAGCATCCTAGCTAATTTTGAAAGTAATCCAAAGCCTCTACTTTCACTGCTTGGCCCTTCCACCCTTGTGCCATCAGCTTTCATAAGAACTAATATATTTTTCTTGTTCCTTCTATTAGCGATAGTCTTGTGGAAGAAAGATGTATTCTTGTCCCCTTCACTAAGCTATTGGACCCTTGGTTTTTGCTTGTAAAATACCTCCTCAATCTTTGCAGCTTGAATGTAGTTTCCAAAGCAGTTGTTGTTCTTCTTGATTCATGGCAGGGTCACTTGGGTTATCATTCAAAATTCTTTGACATCTCTCCAAAGATTCCTTGGCTTCTTTGGCTCTAACTGTAACTTTCCCAATATTCCTGGATTCTTTGTCTTGAGAAGCATTAATTTGCGGCAAACTCAATACTGAAAAGTTCCTTGAATAGACTGTGACCAAATCTAATTCACTAAATCTAAGAAAACCTCTATGTCAGCAAGAAAGTTAAAATTTTTGAAAAGGTTGTTTCTCCTTTGCACTTGAAGTCCCAAATGCACAACTGCAGGACTATGGTCAGAAACTCCTAGGGGTAAGAACTCTGTCATTGTCTGCTGAAATGTGAGGTTCCACATTTTGTTCACAAGGACTCTATCCAACTTACGAGCCACACATCCATGTCTACCCCCTCTTATTACGCCAGGTGAATTGAATTCCTATGTATCTGAGGTCAATAAGTTTTGAATCCTATAAGCATCAGTCAAATTCTTCCATTATTGAGTTCCATCTGTTTTGCCCCCCCCCCCCTTTCATTTTCCTATAAGCTCCTAATAGCATTAATATCACCTAACACCACCCAAGGTTCATTTGAGAAGATTCTATCATGGTAGATAAGATTGCTCCACAATGGTCTTTTTTCTCTATCATTATTATAACAATAGACAAAAGAGGCTATGAATTGCACCCTACTCACCCTACTCATAAGATTCTTGATCTTGCAATGGATAACTTAATCAGTCTCAAAGATCTTGCTAGGCTCCACATTATCTGGGTTCCACTCAATCCATATCCTTCCAAAGTTGTGACTATCATAGTTTGCTAGACAATTCCAATCTCTAAAAACATCCCTTATGATTCTATTTTTATTTACATTACTCACCTTTGTTTCAAAAAGCCCCAAAATATCAAGATTCTATTAAAAAATAGTTTTCCTAACGTCCCCATGCTTAGAAGTCTCATTAAGACCTCTTATGTTACAGCACACACAATTCGTTGAGGGGGTTAGATTTTTCCAAGAAAGAGGTGCTCAGCCACCTTGGACTTTGAGTCTCTCTTTTTCCCTTTCTTCTTCTTCCTTGGAATTTGTTGTAAATTTCCTTTGGTTAGTTCCACCTCCTTACAGACTTCCTCAGTTGCTTCTTTTGGTTCATTTGCTTCAAACTCAAGCTCCGCTCTAAATTCTACCACAATTTCCCCCTCCATGTTGAGCTCCTCAAATTTTTTACATGACAAAGTAACACCAGGCTGCATCAACAGTTGAGGAGAGTTGCTCTCATTTATTGTTATCTTAGTGATTTGGTGGTCTTGAACCAATATATCTTGTTGAGAAGAGGTAGAGGCAGAGCTTTGGTTATTCAATCCCATTTTGCTTCCGGCAATAACCAAGGAAGAAGCTTGGTGAATTGCAATTAGTTCCTTTTCTTGAGTCTGATTTGCCCCTTATTGCTCCAAAGAAACAATCATAGTTTCTGCAACTATCTTTCCTTTATCCAGGACAGTTGTGTTGGCTTGTCATGGAGCTGGTTTGGGCTTCCAACTTTTCATTGTTCTTTGTTTGGGATAAGTGGACTCATTGTGACAAAAAATGCGACAGTCTTGATAAATTTTAAGTCTCCATTGGTATTCCACCTTGATCTCTATGGACTTAGTTTTTCCTTGGATGTCCATGAGAAAGTCAAAACTCTCAACTAGCTTTTTAGCAGCATTCACCTCAACACATAATCTTGTGTAACTTAACCTCCTCTTCTTTGCAGTTAAAGTGTTAGCATAAAGAGGTTTACCTACTACACTAGCGAGGTAACTTAGCCTATTATCACTCCAAAACTAGAGGGGGATGTTATGCAACTTAATCCAGAGTAAAATTAAAAATTGGTTCTCTTTGGTTAAAATGAGGTTAGAATGCCATTTTTTGAGGATGAGTGGCCTTCTAGAAAATAGCCAAGGGCCACCTCCACAGACTTTGGTTCTAAACTCATCATCCATGAACTTAAAAAAATAGAACTCATTTTCATTTGCATAAACCTCAAGAAGGCCCATATTGCCCCAATCTTATGAGCTATAATGATAACAGATGTAAAAGGAGTATTTTTTCTATGAAGTAACCAACTAGGCAGTTTCTCCACTCATTACAGCCCTTAGAGACAAATCCACGGGGGGTGGACTATGATTCTATTATTTTTCTTCTTGGGTTCAAAGTATTGAAGATTTATTACTTCAGAAGGGTGTTGGTGCAGAGATTTGAATTTTTCCATTGCATTCTGCTTTAAGACTTGGCTCCATGGCTTGGTAGGGGTAGACTTAGTTTGTTGAACACTCATATGCTTACTTGGATGCTGCCTATTAGAAGTTCTCCCATCCTTTGGAATAGGGGAGAAATCTCGAACATTGTTACAGGCAGGATGAGTTGGAGTCTCTTGGTTGCTGCAGTGTTCCTCTAGCTCAACTTCAATGGATGTGGTTGAAATAACGGTGGAATTTGTGTTTGTAATTACCTCATCAAGTCTGCTAGTTAATGACGAGGATGATGGGTTTGGTGGAGTATTTTTTGGTTCGTTGCCCAGTGGTGTTTTAGTGAGAGATTGGAATTTTAGAAATGGGTAGAGGATTTGCAAGAAAAAACAAGGGCAAAAATTTGGGGATCTGGGTGAAGGAGGTGGCTAGAGGGTGGAAAAAGAGGATTGAAGGAGAAAATGGGGGAGGTTGGGAGAGGATTTGATGGGGAATCTAGGGTTCAAGGAGGTTGGGGGAAAGCACAGAAAGTCATCATTCCTGATCTTTCTGCAAAGAATGATATGGTGCAGATTCATTAATGCATGAAGCATTAATATTGTCACCCATGAAGAGTTGGGAGAAATAAATTAGTAGAGGATATTTGTTATGTGAAAAAGGAAAAATGTGGTTAGATTTGAGAAAAAGATCGCTTATGATGATTTAGAGCTGTAGTGGGTGAACAGATTTGGAATGGCAATGGTGGAAATATGATGGCTGTAGTGAGTAGTATGACAAGAAAATTGGTAGATCTGGGTTAGGGGATGATTTGCAGGCTAAATGGTTATGGTGTTGGGCTTGGTGGAAATTGGGTGGAGATGCAATGATGGTGATGCAGCTGAAGGTAGAGTGGTTGTGTTGGAGACAGATGTGGGTTGGAGGTTATTTTGTGGTATAAAGGGTGATCGAGGGCTTGATGGAGGAAGGGTGGAGGAATCAGCAGTGAAGGCTTCAAGTGGTGACGGATTGGTTTCACAGGGGAAGAGAACAAAGGACCCGCATAATAGACAAAAGAAGAGCCTAAACCTAAATATTCCCTCTTTCTTAATAAAACCCACTTTTATGAGTCCTAAACTAAAAATACACTCAATTTATATATGAGTAAAGTCAAATAAAAAATTTATGATTCTTTCAAATTTTATATAATACTTTATAGAAAAACCAAAGAAATTGTCATAATAAATATTAAGCATGTTTATTTAACTCATTTATTATTCATACTAGTACATCGCTTAATTTTAAAATTTTTTACAAAATAATTATTAAGCTTTAAATCACCAACATAGTGTAGGGTGAAACTATTATTCTAAAATCGTTAGGGTACTATCATCAATTTCGATTATTAATTTTGAATTTGACAATTTATTATTATTGGTTAAAAGAATAACAAAAAATTACACACATAATATATTTTTATTGATTGAAAAGTGAAGTTGAGATATCATCGAGTTTGTTTTATGTGATTTACACGCGGATGGTAGACGGGTGGAATTGGTTGACCACTTGGTAGGTGGGAATTAATTAATACAAGTTGTACATACAATAACAACTTTTTCAGCGTTGTGCTAATTATTGTGGGTCCCAATTAGAGGAGATAAGATTACATTGATGTATGTGAAGTTGTCAAGTTTCTCCCACTTATTCAATTGTGATGATACACAAGGTGTGGGTCCCAACTAATGCAATGATGCCTTAATGATAGAATAAAGAGAAAGAAAAAGATTATGAGGCTGTTGAAGACATACTGGCATTTGGGGGTAAAATTTATGAGGAAGACTACACTACCAATTTTTGTACCGTATTAAAATTTATAATTTTTTGAAGATAAATAATATATTTTTAAGTAAATATTATAATTAAAAAATGATAAATGGAAGGAGAGAGAGATACAACCAGAAGGTTTCAAATAACTAGTAAACAAGAAAAGCAGAAAGTGGCAAGATACTAGGTGTAATAGTGATGATGTTCACAAACCCTAGATGCCTATAAGCCTACACCGATCATTTCAAGCACAGAATCTCAAGCTTGAGTTTCCACATAACCCATTCTCTCTTGTTTACATGATCAACTGGTGTTTTATAGAAATTTCATGCAAACTTCAGAGAGAGAGAAAGAGAGACTTTATCATAGAATCAACATGAGAAAACCTTTTCTCCTCTCTCTCTCTCTCTCTCTCTCTCACACACACACACACATACATACATACAAATCAGAAAGTTGGGGGACCAAAATTGGGTCCAAGATCATCTAGGGCTTAGTTTTATATTATATGAAGGACCCTAATGTCCTAACCCATACGTCTTGCTAATTGTTATCTCAATACTGTATCACAAAATTCAATCTCTCTCTCTCTCTCCAAAATTATCATGGAAGAAGGAGATGAAAAAAAGATCAAGAAATAACAGCAGCGCGAAGCAAATGGTGGCGAATAATTTGAGCGAGATGAAGCCTGGTCCGATACATTCATTTCTTGTTATGAGCTCTAATGAATGAATCAAGCCAACCAACATTCCCCTCAAACCCTCCAACCTTACTGCTTCTAAGACCATAACCCACATAGAGATCTTGTTTCCGTTCTCTAAAAACCTATCCCACAAGCTTTTCAGTAGGGGGTGAGGAGAGAAGAGCTTATAGGCCATTGCCTACGTCAAAACCCTAGGCCGGACATACTGATTTATAGGTGGGTGGAAGAGGTTGTTACCCCCTCATTTGATGACATCCAAAATAAGAAGTTGTGTTTAGGCTCACACATCTTGTAGTGAGTGTACCTCAAGCTACATTTTGAAAAGAAAAAGATAAAAAGGGAAGAAAATTAAATAGGAAAAAAATAAAAATAAAATATTTACCATTTAAAGTCAGTTCATACATTATCTATCTTTGTTCCTCCTCCCATTTTTAAAACTAAAAAAAAAAAAAGGAATTAGACTTATCTCATCTTCCCTCCTTGAAAGTAATGACAACAAAAATCATATACATTATGAAGAACCATACACTTTGTATATGTTACAAAAAAAAAAAACTAGAGAAGATCAAATTATGTAAAAGTTGCAACAATTTGAGATGTACCTCAAATATATTTTTCAAAATAAGTTCTGATTAGTTACAATAAATAACAAAAAATTGGGAAAAAGTTTAGTTGAGAAGTCACAAACAATTTTTGTAATTGCATTTTGTTGTAGTTGTAGGTTGAGCAAACTTACCCAAAAAAAATTTGTAGGTTCAGCATCTAAAAAGTATTACAAGCAAAGCGAGAAATCTCTTAAACTAGAAAATTTGACTTTACTTAAATCTCATTATCCTTAGGAATCAATAAAAAAGAAAAATTCCTTAAACTAGAAAATCTGAAATGATGACTTATCTATCAACTTCACATAAATTTTCTTAAAATTACAAACTCTGCAATAATGTACTGTTGATCAAATAGGCAATAGATAAGGTGGCCAAATACAAAAAAAAAAGAAGGTAAAGTTGTTGTTTTTCAAATGAAATTTATGGCATATAATCCTATGTAAATGATAAAATGATAGTCAAGTTGTAAATAAACAAGAAAGAACAAAAAGAGAAAAGGTGTCTGAAGCAGAAAGATAGCATCATTGCTTTATTTTACTACAACAATGCGTCTGGCATTTGTTTTATTGTAACATTTACGTATGATTAAATTTTACTAAGCAATATTTGAATTCAGGCATTTTCTTTTGTTGGATGAATTTTCATTTTGTGTATGGTACAAATTGTATTTGATATATGTCCGTAAAAATGTATTTTTGTTGTAAATAAAATTGGTCGACATGATACCTCTATTTTATGAACTAACTAAGTTATATTGAATTGTTGGCCTTTTCTATTTTATGAACTAAGTTATATTGAATTGTTGGCACTTTCCAACAACAAAGAAAATAAGGTTATGATAAACGTTAATGAATAGTAAGATTTCTTTTTGAGTAAATTTAAGAAGTTGGAGTGCATAAGTAAAAGACGGATTGAATTTTGCCCAACAAAATCCCGGGGAAAAAGGGAAAGAAATATGGAGGGCATTTCTTGTTTCCAATGGTTATGTAGCCTATTTGGAAAATTATAAACAATGCAATAGTAAATAGTGGAAATATAATCTTGAAAACCACTTGTTTTTTGCACATAGAAGTCATGCTTGCATGGTTAAGGGGTGTCGGCTATGGCTATTATAGGTGTTTTAAGTGTTTTGATCCCTCTTACTCTCATGCCATGCAGTCATTTGTTTGTCTCTTATTTTTGAAAATTGATTTTCATAAAGAAACCTA